AAAAAAAAAAAAAAGTTCAATGAACTATAAATCTAAAGAGTTGAAAAGTTAACACAGGTACCTTTAACAATTATAGATACCCAATTTTTTTTTTCAAATCCCTATCTACGAAAAAGGTCAATGATCCAAACATAACATGTTACAAAATAGGAAAATGTTATTTAGATCTAATTATCTCTGCCAGTAAAATTAAGCTATTTCAAACTTCAGTCAGATTTCTTGAATATAACATCCAACACTCAACCATTGTTCTCATCAACATTTCTATCTAATTTGTTGATAAGTCTCTTGATGAAATTAGAGACAAAACTCAGTTATAGAAGTTCTTAGGGTCCTTGAACTATGTTTTAAACTTTTACAAAGACCTTAGAAAAATAGGCAAACCCTTGTATGAGAGATTAAGAGATAATCTTCCTGCTTGGTCACCAATTCATACTTCCATAATAGTAGTAATTCAATTCTTGATTCCCTAACGCATGAATTTTTGCAAAATTTTCATGGCAGATAAGAAATCCAATAAACCACCTATATCTAGAAAAAAACCCGAAAAATACTATGGTAAACAGCTTGTCTTGCTAAGTCCAAGTTCAAAACCTAGTCACTTGCCACTCTTAGACCTAGTAAACCATTACTATATCCTTGGTAATATAGTCAAACCATTCTTTCAGTTCACCTTGGTAAAACCAAACCCCAGTAAATAGACCTTAACAAGCCCATATCCAGCCCAATCGATATCCTCCGTTAGGCAATCCCAGTTAACAAACCCATATCTTATAAGATCAACACCGTCAACCTAAACCTATAAGACTGAGTACGTCCCAAAATCAACAATACAAAACCTATTCATTATTGAACCATTTTATGCCCATTTAACCAACCCAGTTGATCTAGTCAATGCATACCTTAAACCATGATAGAATTTCATTCCATTGGATCCTAAGTAAATCTTCTAGTTTTATCAGGATATCCTGTTTCATACCTAGTCAATATTCATCAAACTTATCTTTGATAAGAATGATGATAGTAAATAATGAACCATTTTTTATACATTCTCAAGTT